TGTTCGCACTACGAACTTTTGTTCGCATTGCGAACATGACAGGAAACCAACACTTATTTTGACCATAACTTTTAAACCGAAACTTTGTTTTACGCGCGGTCGGAAGCGTTGGAAAGCTTATTTAATACTTTATAAGACAATGACAAAATATCATTGCTTGTATACCTACAAAAATGAGAGAAAAACAATTAAAACATAAACTATACAACATATGCACAAAAGTTGAAGTTGGTTGAATTAAGACAATAAGTGCCAATTATTCACACTCAAAATCACTATAATTTAAAACTTATCAACTCTCCCCAACTTAAACTTGTTTGTCCTCAAACAAGAATCGATCAACTCAAGGAAACAAAAGTAACAATCGAGCAACCACGACTCAACAAGTTTCGAAAAAACGAAAACAAATGTATGGTTCAACATAAAAACTGAAGGAAAATTGCGATCTAAACGCAGCGGAAGACAAAAATTTCCTTTAGTGATCCTTACGAATGAGCATGGTCAGTGATGGAATCGTTACCTCTTTGTGGCGATTCAGATCTTTGATGCAGCGATCACAAGCGTTGATGAAGTGCAACGCCTCTACTCAGTCCACACGAACAGCTTCCGGTCACAGTGCTAGCTGCTTACGAACGGAATTATTTGAGTGAGAAAAGAGAATCAAAAACGAAATTGCATCAAGTGAAAGCTTCATCACAAGGGTTCCTTTTATAGACTCTCTTGTGGGCTGCGGGCTAAAATCCAATTCACATGATACATAATAATATTATATATTATTATAATAACTATTATTATAATAAATATATTTATTTTATTATTATTTTATAACCATTATAAAATAACAATAATTATTATTATATTATCCGAATTTCTATTTTTCACTTAAGTGCACCGTACCTTACGGTGTTCCTTTTTGATTTCTCTATCTCTCATCAAACTGTCCTTATGTGTGTGACCCTGTAGGATTTCGTAACGTTGGTAATTATATTAAATTATATATTTAACATAATAAACAGTAAGCGGTATCTAGCAACACATCACTGCTACCCAAGTCACGAGAATGTCATGTGATCTGACAAAACCTTTTTCGTGATAATATATGTTTGTACAATTACCCTTTTGCCCCTATGTCTATATTGAACACAAGGCATACACTGTGTCATCCTTGTCCAGTTCAATATTGGGCCCTTAGACATTTCTCCTGTTATGCAGGATTGGCAAATTCCATCTAGGACACTCATGTCCCTCAGCATGCTTCGTGGAGTGTCCATCAACTGTCTTTATGATCATCCAGTTACGGATAATGTTTGATCAGCAATAAAGCACCCGACTCTACATCTAGGGTCCATAGTGGTTTCAGGTCGAAGGGTGGTAATACACCATTATCACCATGAGAATAACTTATGACACTTTGCATAACATACTATGTAGTACACTACAACATTTAGGCTCTCCAACAACAATTGAAAAATGTTGCCAAAACTCTGAAAATTGTTGCCTGAAAGAATAGGGGACGTTTTCTAGGCGTCTCCTGTGCGAGCGTTGCCTATTGTCTTAGGGGACGTTTTTTCATGATCTTTGGGCACGATTTTTAAAAATGTTGCCTAAATAAAAGGAATAGGGGACAATTGTTCGTGACCTCTGAGGCGACGATTTATAAGTGTTGCCAAATGCAACTACAATTAGTAAGCGTTGCCTTTGAATTAGAAGAATTGTTTTTAGAATGTTCCCATAAAATATACAAATTTGCAATTATTTCTAAATAATATAGTCGATGATGATTGGTTTCAAAAAAATGTTGATTATAACTTCAACAAGATCAAATATAACTGTACATCCACAAAGTTATATTATAATAAAATCAAGTTCAAACATTAATTCAAGATAGTAGTCAGTAAACAAAGTTCCTAAAGTAACATTATTTATAATACTTAGTTTAATACTTTGAAATACGACCCTAGTAAAATAACAAAAAATATAATTCAAGTTTAATGCTTTCAACTACAAGTAAAAAAACACACATCATCCAACTCATTCAAGTTTGTCTTCTTGGAATTCATCATCCATATCGTCCTCTTGAAATTTATCTGATATGTCATCCTCCAGAAATTCTTCATCTACGTCGTCCTCTTGAAATTCACCATCTATATCGTCCTCTTGAAATTCACCACCAATATCTTCTTCTTGAAATTCACCATTTACATCTATGTCATCCTCTTGAAATTCGTCACCTGCGACATCCTCTTGAAATCCATCATCTACGCTGTCCTCTTGAATAACATCTTTATATATTCCTTTCAATATCTTCATTGATACCTTACTGCATAAGAAAATAAGACAAAATCCATCATAATTGTTTTTCAATAAAATTTATAGAGGAAACACAAGTTGATTTGTAAGGTTGAGTTAGAATAAATTTATACAGAAAAATCTTCAGAATTTATATACCATTAAAGGATTGCATAAGAAAATTTGTACAAACAATACAATTTGCAAAAATAGAATTTATACAGGAAATTTTGCAACACAATCAAAATCAGACCCTGCACACACATCTTAAACAATATTTCAGCCAAACAACACAACCAGAGTTTCACACAATCAGAATCAGACCCTGCACACACATCTTAAAGCTGCAGAAATTAATTTGTGTAGCATTCGAGTGTAAGCAAGGAATTTTCGCATGCAGATGGCATTGTATAGGTACGACTTTTATATCTCCAATGAATATTATGGCTTCAAGCCTTCAACATTTCAGAGGAAGTTCAAGCCAATAAATCCAAAAGTCAAGCTTCTTTCGAGATGCGAGGAGCTCAGGGCCTCATACCAAATATTGGGAGTAAATAAAAGTTAGTTGAAACTTAGAAAGTTGAATTATCTCGCATTATCATATGACCACTAAACATCCTTACTTGATGTGAACAAAACATTTAGTTAATCATCCCCAATAGAAGTCTTACTGCATAAATATAAGCTACAGATAGAGATTTATGGTTATGCAAATGCCAAATACTAATCGGATAAGCTCTTAAGTGGTCATTTTACTTGGAAACACATATAATTCCTAAATTGAATAGTTGCAATTTCAGAATTTCTCTGAAGAAGCTGCTTAAAAAGAGCAATTATTTCAAGCTAAGCGTGGACACTAAGTTTTGAAAAAAGAAAACAACAATGAGATCAATGTAAGCATCTACAAACCATAACCAGCAAAGTTCATAAGTGATAACCATAAAACATCAGACAGAGCTTCAAATTTACTTTTACATGAAAGGGAAAAAAACCATTGAAATTGATTTTCACTTAGTAAATAAGAAAACGACTGCAACAAAACAGTATCAGAAGGTGTCGATATCAATACTTATATTCACAGTTTTTATGATAAAGAACAAATTATGGTTAATTCACACGCAACACCTGTGTAGACCGAAATTGGGAAATCCTTTAATCGGTGCAGTCATTTTTTTAAACCTTGATTATGAGTTAAGAACCAGCTTTTGTGTTAGCAAGTTCAACAATAACTCTGCATCATTTAATGTGAAGCGTTCAAATCTTCTAATAACAACTCCATTAAGAATATACAACTAGTCATTGTTATATCTAACACCTTATCAACTAATCAACTAATTGTTGAGTATATTTATAAATTGCATGCAACAACAATTACGATCAGAATCTAACAATTTTAAAAATCTCTACTCTCTACAACCACATCCTAATAGAAATCACCACCACATTCTCCGATTATCACGAAAAAGCAGAAGAAAAAAATTAGTAACAAAAGCAAAATCCAAACAGAGTAAGAGAAAATGAAATAAGGAATCATCTCTGAAGCGAATGAAAACAAACATTAACACATTGTCCCAATTGAACTCCCTTGAAATGAATTTGGTCTCAATTATATCTTTTTAACTTTAAGCATGTATGAGACAGTACAATAAGATGACTATAAAATCTACTTATGTTAGCTAATGTCAATCGTCATTTAAGTTTTGAAAGAATTTGTGGCTGAAAATGTGCTTGATCTTACAAGACTTTGAGTGTGAAATAACTTATTAATTGCACAATCCTATTTAATAATATTGCAACAACTAATATACAAAACAATGTTTCTTACAATTTTGCTCAACAATGTGACCCTTGTCATCTCTCTCTTATATTATGGAGATACTCTGTGTTGTACATACATATCAAACCTATGGAGATTCGATGTGTTCACTACACACATCAAATAATAATCTAATTAGCTAGTTCTTTAAATCTATTAATACTCATAACTATACTAGTCATTTAACTCTAAGAATGGTTCCTTTATCATCTTTGCCATTAATTCTATGAATGGCAATTGAATTCACAGGGTTAAGAACTTTCATTGAAACAACCAAACAATTTTGTGTGTGAGTGGAGAAAGATAACTCCATACTATATCAAATCAAAATCCATTACATATCCTAAATTTTTTTTTATAAACTTAGAGTTAAGTATTTACTTAGCGTTCTGAGATTAAAAAACTTAGATTCATTATTTTTAACTAGAAATTAAAATCCATAACTTATCCTAAAAAAATTAGTAATAATCATTTAACTAATAAAATCAATAATTAAAGGCATGATTCATAACTAAAATAAGTTTATATTAATGATTTCTACTTTGTTCTTTTATCATAGTTTAATTTTTATTTCTATCGATTAAATTTGTAATCAATGGATTGAGAATTGAGAGAAAGGTGATTGATTCAAATAGCTAGATATGAGAATCGCTCCTTTGAATACTATATAGTATCAACAGAGGAGAAAAAATAATATCTTTGAGATGTCGAATGAAAGTTAGGCTCTTAATTATTTTTCCCTGACTTTAATTATTAGAACCAGCCGATTGAGATAAAGATCAATTGTGGTCCTTGTATACTAATTGGATATTAATAACTTATATTGAAAATTCATAACAAGTTCAAGGACAGTGAGCATACCTTAGCAGCAACAAGGCCACTAATATGAACCATGTCACACATCAAAACAGCTCCAAAGCAATCTTTCTAAACCTTCCATATTCTCATTCTCTAGGATAAGAACTACCACCACAGATAAAAATTTCAGGTCTATAGCCCCCTGCTTTCTCCTCAAGTTTATTATAATCACTGTAACCAGTCAAAAGATTAACCTTATAAGATAAAGTTTCAAAAAATATAGATTATGCAAAAACCTTCTTCCCACCATGAGTATAAAAACTATAACTCAAACGTACACTAGAATGTGAGTCCAAAACTATAATTCTATCACAATTATTCAAAAGATTAGTATAAATAGTCAAGTCTCTCATCACGACCCTGCGCACAAAATTCTCATAAGCAATAAATTCAATTCCTTTAAACTGAAGACTGAAACTACTACTTTATTCCAACTAAATAAGTTACTTTTCCAAATAATGAACACAACTTATTCCACATAGTGAATACATTCTATACTGTCATAAATTATTTCCAGCAAATAGACTATATGTAATATGTATAAACTATAGATGCATACCTTTCAACTTGATTCCAACAGCAGCAAAAACCAAAAGCTCGTCCTTAGTCTGAAGTGGCTTCAATTTCAACACAACGTCCTTCACTACAACAAAGCTAGTCAATAAAACGTTGGTATTTCTTTCAAAAACCATACTGAAATCGAGGAAATACCGAATTGATGTTTAATTGAAAAAACTATGATTTTGCTCGCACAAACAACCTAGAGAGAATGAACCATAAAACGATAAAATAAAAACGAAAATATAATCAAGAGTAAAAGAGATGAAATGGAATACGTCGTCGTTGAAAGAAAGGACGGTAATGTCGATGGAATCGAAGGTGGCGCGATGAGCGGAGTTGTAGTGAGAAATTACGTTGCGGGAAGAGGGTAAGATGCCGGAGTGGAAAGCGCCATCGTCAACTGTTAAAAGATTGGGGAAATTTTCCGGAAGTGGTTGCTGATTTGGTACTAGAGAGAAGACGGTGGGACGCTGTTTTGGATGAGGGCGGTATGATGTTTACAGAAGGAGATCACCTCACGTTTTCCTTTTGAGTTATTTTTTCAATTTTTTTTCAATTATTTTATATATTTTATTCTGAATGAAACGTGAAATATAGATAAATAATTTTTTATATAAAAATTTCTCCCTAAACACTAGTGGGATGTGTTAAATAATATAACTTTTTTTTAAAATATAAAAATCATTCAAAAAATATTATATTATAGATGATGTAATAAATATAAAAAATTATCTAAAAAATATTATGTGTTAGATGATAAAATAAATATAAAAAATTATCTAACACATAATATAATAATATACTACTATATTATTATATTATGTGTTACATGATTTTTTATATTTAATTTTTTTTAATAATGTTTAGAGAAAATTATTTATTTTTTAGTGTATAAATTTGGAGGGAAGATTGCCACCAAATATTTGATGTTGTTAAAATTTTCTGCAACACGGAAAGAATGTAACATTTTATTAGAATTAATGTAACAATATAAAAATGTCCTCAAAAGTATTTAAGAGGACAATTATCAAACATTGCTAAAGATATAGTATATTAACGCTCCAAAATCGTCCCTAAAAGTAGTTAAGGGCACAATTAACAATCGTTGCCAAAAAAATAAAAGAGTGACGCTCTAAAAACGTCCCCAAAAGTACTTTAGACAACGATTATCAAGGGTTGCAAATATATTTTTGTCAACAGCCATAAATCGTTGCCTATACGAATTTTAGACAACAATTTTTACATGTTACCTAAAAAAGTGTTGCCAGAGACAACAAATGTTGTAGTGGTATTCTCATAGCGGGTCAATCCGGTATAAATATTACTCCTAATATTTATACCTATGTCAAGACTTGATAACTCTTTATCCATGATCCATGAGATGTGATCATCAGTCTATCTTCATAATAGTCTCAATGCTTTTAATGTTATCCCACTTTGCAATAAAGCTTGACTACGGATATTTTAAGAATAATGTCTTTATGTTTAATGGGATCTCATGATTAAGTCACACTTAACATTTCATTAAACAAACTAACTATTCTAGGGACTTTATTATTCTGAAAGACAAACATAATAAAGAAATGCCTTTTATTATTAAACGAATAATCCGATACAAGTACCAAAAAGTATTGGCCTCTAGGGCTTACACCAATAAAAACGTACATGCAAAGCAAAACATACCACTAAACTACAATGATAACATGAAAACGAAACAACTCCTAAATACAAAACACATGTCAAAAATTCTAAGACAATACAAAGTTCAAAAATGAATCACACCTAGCACACACTTCATCGATAGATGAATAAAAAAACACGAGGGACTTAACTCTCACCCAACACTCAAGTTAACAACAAGTTAAATTATGCATTCATCAAGAAAAAACTCATATTGAACAGTATAAAATAAAAAATCACAAGGGTTTTAACAGTTGTAATGTGGCTAGGGTAACAAACAATTGTTTTTCTCAAGGTAAAAGAAACAAAAACTTGCCTAATCAAATGAGAGTGATCATTTCTCACAATTTCAAGCACTCATAAATTCCAATCACTTTTTCCTCTTTTCCAAATTGTTATACCATTTCACACAACTTATTAGCATAACATTATTCTATTTTTTTTTCTTTTTTTCAATTCTTTTCTTTTTTTTCTTTTTCATTTTTTTATTTTCTTTCTTTTTCACTTTTTTTTTCTCAACCTCTTAGCAACCAACCTCTTCTCCTCAACTTGAATACAACCACACATAGTGACATGAATGCTCCCAAACTTATTAGGCAAGGGTAAAATACTCAAATAATAAGTCATGGTTATAGTTCAAGAAAAAGTATTAGAATCCATACAAAAATGAACTTAACACCAACATGGATTCTAACAAAGGCTCAAAGAGGGTAAGCAAATTCCCACTCACTCACAAGGTAGATTGACTATTTGATCAAGTGGGTATGCTTAAAATCGAAAAAAATGCCTTGATTATTTTAGTACTATTATACAAATCAACACAAATACAAGATTAAACGTAATAAAATTGATTTAAACAAGAATGTTGGTCTCCTGCATATAGTAAACAATGGAAAGATTTTCACAAAAAGGTTTTGTTCTAAAGTGATTCAAACCTGAACAAGTATGGCAAAAGAATGAATGACATGAAAATTGTACAAATGAAAAGTATCCTAATTATGATATGTTCTAGAAAGCAATAAACGAGTACCTTGCAAAGTACCAACTTCAAACAATATCAAATCATACATTCGCAAGTTGAAACGATCAAACTTGGAAAATCACAAAATGTATCCTCAAGCTAATCAAAAACAAACTTGAGAGCAAACACAAACATTATTCTAACAACCTAACAAAATTGAATTAAAACTAACTAAACACAAAGACCAAAATTGGTGAAAGTGGATGGATGGATGGAAAATGAGATATTTGTCTTTGCAAAATAAGGCGCGCTAAGCGCCCTCTATGCGCTAAGCGCGGGCAAGAAAACTTCGATTTTCAGATTCTTTTTCTCACATGTGGTCCATCCATTTTCACTTTATATTAACTATACTACTAAATATAAAACTATACAAACTCAAAAATCGTTGTGTTGCCTCCCAACAAGCGCTTGTTTCACGTCGTTAGCTCGACACCTTTATTGTTCTTTGCTAGTAACTTCCTCACATACACGTCGATGCTTTGTCAAAGCGTCAACCTAAAGAAAGTGTCCTAATCAAACACATGAACAAATGTTACGGGAACAATATATACACAACACTTGAACAAACATAATGGAAGACAAAAGCAAAACAAGTATCTCTACAAGCATATATACAATTATGTGCAAAGCTTAGAAATATAGAAACTATCGCAATGCGGCTCAATATCAAAACCAATCCCCGGCAACAACGCCATTTTATTGAAGCGGTAAAGTACCAAGCAAAAATATTATTTTCGGAAGAATTTCCTCAGGGATTTATGTCGTCTCCACAAGGATCAGTGTGAGGTGTAACAGCCGAATTTTCAATAACTGATTAATGGTACTAGTTAATTGGTTTGTATGATTTAAGTGAATTATTGGATTTAACTGATTTATTCTATTTAATAGAATAATATGGACTTACTAGATATTCTCTAATTAAGGATGAGATGGGATATTTTTTGAGAAAATGAATTGGCAAATATTTTGAGAGAAGAAATATATTGGAGAGAATAGGAGGGAAGGATATATGAAAGGAAGCGGAACGAAAATGTAAAATAGAAAACATGAAAGAAAAATGGAGGAAGAAGAGAAAGTAGAAGGAAAAAGAAGGGAAAGCTTGGAAATCTCAAGAACGACTTCTAGCTTCCGATTAATCGAGGTAAGAGTGTGAAATATTGTTATCTTACCAATGTATGTGATTATGTATGATTTGCTTGGATTTGTTTGGTTGTTCTTCCTCATCTTCTATTCTAGGGCATAATGAGTTTAATCGATAGAAACCGAGTTTTAACGGTTAAGAATGAGGATAAGTAGTAGAGTTTAGTCGAGGAATGTTGGGTTAAGGCTGCTAGGACGAGTTGGGATTGAATCGGTTGGATTTCGATGAGTCTCAGAGTTTTGGACAGTGGGGAATTCTGAGTTCGTAGACACTCGCTAGCTTGTTCGCTAGGCGAGCAGGTCGCGAGCATTCCCTGTGGCGAGCCAGTAGCGAATGGTCCCAGACTTGGGCAAAATGGTTTTGGGTGTTCTTCGCTGGTAACGAAGGAGTAGCGAGCATTCGTTGGGCATTCGTTGTGGCGAGTGGGGTAGCGAATCAAGTCAGTGGCTTCTGTTTGCCTTCACGAGCTTGTTCGCTAGGCGAACAGGTAGCGAGCACTTGCTAGGCGAGCAAGGTAGCGAGTGTGACAACATGTTGTTTTCTTGTGTGTTCCATCCAATGTTTAGTTTTTTGGTTCAATGATGTTAATCCTTATATATTTGTGAATAATTTGTGTACTGTTAAGATGAGACGTGTTGTGGGTAGCCTTATGGCATGAATCCTAGATTGTGTAATATGGCCTTTTGGCAATTATATGCATTATTTGAATTAACCATGAATGCATGATGAATGTGATAACGTGTGAAGTATGCATGAGAATATATGTATGATATATGTGCATTGTTTGGTAATTTGATAATGACGTTGAGAATATGTAAACATGCGAAATCCTTACTCACTGGGGTAAAATGACAAGGTGTCGTTCCTAGTGTAGTAATCACCGGGGTAGAATAACTGTGGAGTTGTTCCTGGTGGGGTATAAGCGATGTACCCATAATCCAAATGAGGATTTGCGGGAGTTGTCGAGTTTGTATGAGTCATATGGTATGTGTATGTGATTGTTGTATGAAGGTGTGTGATGTGGTCGTTTGGCAGTTATGTGTACAATTGTATGTACTTGTGTTGGGTGTAATGCATAATTGTATATATTTGTGAATATATGTGCATTTCAAGAGTGTGTGGAGTCATTGTGTGTGTGTAGCATCATGAGTGCATTCTTGTGTCTTGATCCCGTGGAGGATCTGCTGAAACCTCGTGTGCCCTTGTGGGGTGTGAGCGATGGTTTATTCTTGATCCCGTGGAGGATCTGCAGAAACCTCGTGTGCCCTTGTGGGGTGTGAGCGATGGTT